AGCCACAAGACCCCCCCCATCCCCACCACGGTGCCCCCACGGGCCCATTGCCTCGTGTTGGTGCAATCCATCAATCTAAAAATAGATATGACACGAGCTCTATCCAGAACACCCCTCAATCCATTAATCTAAAAAGTGCAATCCGACAATCTAAAAATAGCAGTGATCTCAATCATTCCTGCCCGGTATGGGGAATGGGAGAAAACCGGTCCTCACCGGTGGCACCGGACGTAGAACTCTCATTTCATATTTACTCACACTTTCTCGGACCAAATACATTACCGTTATATTCTCGTTCTCTTCTCTCATCCGTTTTAGATTTCTTTACAGCACCCTCTCTTTTAGTTTTGGTTTTGGATCTGTCTTTTTTGTTAACCACTCTTTGATGAAGTGTAGAAGAATTTGTTAATTATTTCCATAAACGATATATATGGTCCGAGACTATTCTTTTTGCATTTTCCTGCTATCTTTCTGAATACGCATTGATATTTCTCACAAGGCGGTTGAATAGATGACAATATTTTCACCATCACTGAATACTCCCATTTCTAGTTAGACTTTGCTCAGTCTTAGCCTCGATTGTGTAAAAATGAGCTATTTTCTTTCATTAAGGTCTATTGTATAATAAGGAATCTACGCACTACGGAACAATACGAGTTGATTAAAATGCCGCGGGTTTTGGTTGAATGTATCGGATAAAACAGTAACAACAACAACAAATACCAGTTCTCTTAACAGATGAATTTTTAAAGTTTAATCAACTTTTAGCACTAGTTATAAAGATCTTGTTGCTCAAGGTTAGCCTTGAGTTTGTTAGCTTTCAATCTGAGTCCAAACTTCAGGCAAATTAGTTATCTAATAAATAAAAATTCATTTTATTCATGCATTGCATACTGTGGTCGAGAGGACATTTTTAGCAGTATTCTAGAACCTCTTCTTTTGTGCATCCCTCGTTACAACACTCTTCGTAGTAATCTGTTGGTCTGGAGGGTTCTACACTTGCACTGCGCTTGAGCATTCTACCACGAAAGAAACTTTTGGCCTTTGAGCTCGTCTCTATTGCATTTGAATCTAAAAGACAAAAAGAAATATACATCACTCATAAAAGGAAATTATGTGGTTATGGACTGGCATGGACTAACAAAATTACTGGAGACAAGAAACCATTTCCTGCAGATAAAACCTTTCCCCCTCCATTTCGCGATTGTATCGCGCTGCGCGCGCGATCACTTCAACTGCAATTTTAATTTCGAACGTAAATATCACATATGAGCTGACCACGACAATTTACGGAACGTCTATAGAACAGTTTTCGTATGGCTGAAAATGTCGGTGCCATGTGCGTGCCTTACCGTGACCGTATTTTTTTCTAGAATTTATTGGGGGATTTTATTTCTATTAGGGGATTATTTTTTTTCACGAGCAATGTGTTTATCTTGCAGTGCCGTGACATAGGCGTAACCGTGTCCGCGCCGTGTTCATGCAGTGTTTCGGGCATTTGATAGAATGGAGAATAAATTATCGTGCAAAGTGATTGGTCCTGCGTATGCTTTGCCACGTCACGACCGTGTTCGTACCTTGAGCTTTTCACAGTCATACGAAAACTGCTCTGATTCTCGATCTACTACTACAGCAATTAGATCGTTAACTGTTACTATAGTAACTTTTGTTTTTGCGTCTTACCACCATTTGTAGTGGTTATTAGTCCACAATGTCTGTTTAATATTATTTGGAAATCGGATGCTGTACAACACAAAACTTAAAGTCGATTTTTTTACAGTAGGCGATGGCTAGGCAACAGACGAGGCAGAGACACAGCGGTAAAAGACGACGAGATGCCATATTAAGTGGATGGAAATCCCCGTGGAAGAAAGTCTGAAAGAAGGAAAAAATGAAAAACAAAAGAAAAGAAACAATTAAATAAGGTTACAGGAATAGGTAAAGC